GTCTGGGGCTTTAGTAGACTTTAGGATCTTTTAATGGCCCAAGGATGCATCTAACATTTTGGGAGACTGAAGATTTCAAACCAGATGGGGCAACCTTACCCCATGTGCAGTTGGGAATGCTTTTGGAGAGGCTGTGATCTGCCTATTTTTGAGAATACACTGTAATGTTTCATTTATTTCTCATCCCCAAATGAGAAAGAAATGCTGCCTCCAATTTCTGTAATCCTGGTTAGAAGGGCTTTCAAAGACCACGTAGAGAGGAATGGACAAGGAATCTGTTTTCCATTTCCCATATTGCTTTAATATATGGTCACTCAAGAAAGCGAATTGGCAATTGATTCAAAACAGTCAAAATAAATCTTCACATAAACCTCAAATCACATAGGGAATATTTTGCCGCAGAAACAAAATGGCTACTGACTTGGAGGCCTAGTTCTTTTCTTGTTCCCCCCTCCTTCTTTCTTATTTGTTTTCTTTTAATGTTATTTTTTAAGATCATAAGCCCAACAGTGGGCTTTCTACATTAGATCTTCAACCCTTCTTCAGGCTTTCCTTTGGGTTGAAAAAAAAACGATTCTGAATAAATAACAACAAATTCACAAAGGAGGCATGGTTTCTCACTTGTTACATGGAACCTCGTGTTTGCTAAATGTCACTCAGTCAAGGCCACCAGCTGTGAATGTTTTTAGTTCAATCTGGACTAAATGAATCTTACATTCCCCTATGTATCTCTCTAGGCACCCAAACTATCTGAATATTATGAGAAAAAAAGGACCATCTGTAGCAGGGGTCTTCAAACTTGGCCCTTTTATGACTTGTGGACTTCAACTCCCAGAATTTCTCAGCCAGGCACACGTGGCTGAAGGAGGTTCCTCCTTGTTCTGAAACTCAAGCTAAACAGAGCATCAATTCCCATGATCTCCCTTTCTGAGGAGTTGCCCTGTTAAGGAATTTTCTGGGGGAAATAAGATAAAGGAGAACCAGCCAGGCCCAAGCATCAGCTCATTAGCCTCCAACCCTCAAATCTGAGCCCTCAGCAGAAGGCAACTGCTGGGCTGGGAGGAGGTCAACCAAAACAGGGCCAAGAACTAAAGCAAATAAATACTGGAAGGGAAAGAAAATGATGAGGAGAAAGCAAGACCTTGTAGAGCTGGGATGAGTATAAGATGCCAGCTGGCAAGCAGTGTGTTTTGGGCCAACCTCTCCTCCCAAAAATTTGGGCTTGAAAAACAGCCCCAGAATATATCAAAAACACAGACAGGCCAGTCCCTGGAGCCAAAGCAAGCAAACAAACAAGAGCTCCAGCCCAAGAGCAACAGCTGAGGGAAATGCCAGGACACTCGGGCATGGAGACAAGACCTCAAAGACCATAGGAGGAGAGACAGAAAAAGTTCCTTAGGAGGGCAGAAGCATTCCAGAAGATCGCCCTGGGAAGTCGGCTTACAAACTCTGAAAACGTCCAGTACAATTGCAGGCGAAAGTGCAGCCAGGGAGTACATCTGTATTGTGGAAATAATCATGATGATAATCATAACTACAGTCAACAACAATTAGAGCTTTCAATGGTTCCGAGAGTTCCACATTCATTAACTCGTTGTCATTTTCACAAAAAAAGACATTTAGTGACTTCTCTTTAGTTGACTTCGTTTCTCTTCCCCCTTGGTGCAGGTGAGAGACCGAAGCTGAGAACGTTCCTAAGGCCACCGAAGTAAGTTGGCAGCCACCTTAAGATTCAAAATGGAGTTCAAAGCTCAGTCCTGCAGCCATAACACCACATGAACTTGCACTCTCATTTAAATGATAGCAGCCTTCCAATATCTCAGGGGTTGCCATAAAGAAGAGGGAGTCAAGCTATTTTCCAAAGCGCCTGGAGGCAGGACAAGAAGCAACGGATGGAAACTAATCAAGGAGAGAAGCAATCTAGAACTAAGGAGAAACTTCCTGACAGCTAGAACAATTAACCAGTGGAACAACCTGT